CACCACCTGTCTGTGATGCTTTGTGTGCTTTTTGCAGGGCAGCATTACCTGTCGGAGGCGAGCCCAGCCCAGACTGCCTAGCCCAGCCCACCCTGCCAGCCCGCAGAGCGCGAGAAGAGATCAAGTAGAAATAAATCTCTGTCGAATCCGCGTGCAAAACGCGCTCGATTTACGTCTGTTCCCTGCCAATCGCTGGAAATGGATAGCGCTGCACAGATAACCCACGTAACTGCTCCGGCTCGACGCGGTACTTGCGTGCTTTTTGGCGATGGGCGCCACGATAAGCCCCAGCTAGTTGGGTTTACGACACGCGCACGCTGGGCATACTGCAGCCTGTCCAGGCGCGGCGTGGGGGCGGCGCGACGGCAGCGGTGATACCTGTTATCTCTGCCGTGGCGTTTTGCCCTTCCTGTTTCATTTTTATCTCGTTTCCAGATCTTTTTCTTCCCCTTTGCCTGTAGTTTCTTACGCTACACTTTCCTCTCAGTTAAGATTCGTGTCACACTTCCCCCCTGCTTTTTTGTTTTCACCTGTCCACACCAATATGCCACCGATATGCTCCCCTGATAATTATCAAGGACCGATACATTGTTGTTTATGTGATACAGTGTTTCCCTCCTTCTCCACAGATGTCGGCGTTTCTCTCCATCTCCTGGACACACCCAGCAGACGGGTGCCGGTCGGGCCGACACGAACAGAACATAGGTTCGGACGTCGCCGCGCACAGCCGAGCCGAGCCGAGTGCAGGACCGCGCTGGCTGCGGGGCGGCCGGGGAGGCCGGGGCGGCCCAGACGAGTGCCGCCTGCGGTGCAAGAGGGTCCTCGGGGTGCTGTGCCGGAGGTGTCTTGGACACACGTGCGTGCAACCGCCGCCCCGGCCGCGCTCTTGTGCGACGTGTTCCGATCAGCGACCCACCCCTCGACTCGACCCGACTGCGGCTGACCGGGAGTAATGGATGAGTTGACACCGCCGAGTCGACGTCCTCTCACTTGACATGTGAGTATCGCTGGCGGCGGCAGGGCCGGGCCACACAGGCAGTGTCTGCTTGTTGTTGTGTGACACGCGACATCTCTTTTGTCTGAGTCACCTCGGTACGGCATTGCAGTGCATGTCTGTCTTGAAGTTTGTCAAAACGGTCGCTTGAGGTGTACCACGTGTCCTTGATGATGAACATGGTATAAACTGCATTAGTGACAGTAATAGTGATGGAAATGGTAGCGCCGTCATCAACAGCGATGAAAAAAGATAAGGGAGAGTCAAGTTTTTTTTTAAAAAAATGTTGGACTTGAGAAAATTGGGATTCCAGGCATACACCGCGATGACGTCTGATATGTGAGCTGCAATTTGTTGTCCCTGCGGAACCAAATAAAAAAGGAAAAGAAAGCGTTTGGAACACGACAACATACGGGAGAGGCGGCCTTTTGAGAACGTAGCGCATGTGCAGCTAACTGTTAACACGGCGTCGTCGCTTGTCGCGGTAAATTATGAACAGCGACTTCCCCCCTCTCGACATGCACCGCGGTACGTAGGCACGGGGCACGGACACCGTGTCCAGCATGCGCAATGCGTCTCGCATTAATTAATAACAACTACTCTCGTATCATCATAGGTGGCGGGCGGCACTCTCCCTCTTAAGCCAAAGGGGAAAAATAAGAAAAATCCATCAGAAAAGATGTGCATTGGAAAATTGCGTGTTTATTTCGGTATGTTCAAAATTTACTGCGACGAGATTTATAAATATTTAGAATTACAAAACAGATACCTAAATACTTACCAATAAAAAAGTTATCTTAAATGACAAGGTATGTTAGAGCGTTTGACCCACATCCTATCAAATTAAAAAAAAAAATTGTCAAAAAAATTAGGACGCACATTTTTAATTTTTGGAGTCCCTGCACTGCATTGTCAGTAGCACCTTTAAAGTCACTTAAAATCGCCCACTGTTCGTGGGGGCGTAACGACAGCAGTGCGGAATCAGGCCCTGTGACTCGCTAATGCAGCACAAGCGCGTCTATTTTTACCATACCGCCAGTCTCTTCCAAAGAGCAGAGTGCGTATCAGTGATGGATATGGGCGGGGTGTGGCGGTGTGGCGTGGCTAATCATATGAAAAGTGATCTGCGATAGCAAAGCAGACAAATTGAATCCAGGGCTAAAGAACAGGGCAGGGCACGTTATAATTTCCATGCAGCTTACGAGTAATTTCCTGACAGTGCTACTCTGCCCAGCGTTTCCGAAAGTGAAGCTGGCAAACGAACCGCTCCGTAAAAAAAAAAAGCAAAAAAACAGTGTTTCTGCATTATTTTACCTCCTTATCCGCCCTCCCTCCCTATACCTCTACCCGTACAGACTATCGATCGTCCCGTTCTCTAAATTTTGTTTGAGATAGTTTCCATTAACTTGGGCGTACCTACCTTTAAGCTATGAAGCCATCAACATATGTTGGCAGTGTTCTGTACCGAGTACCTTGTTGTTTGCCCTACAGGTGCGTGGGCGCTTGAAGGTTCTCGGCTTGTCCTTCTCCTGTGTAAATATGGGAACTTTCGTCACATGTGACCAACGGAACCCTTTGCAAACACTGATTTCTAGAAGACCATAGTTTTGAGCCTAATTGTTTGCGCTTGGATTTCTTCAGCTAGTTTCCTAGGATTCTTACAAAAATCCTGAATTTCATCAAAGCACTTAGCCATAAAAGACTAATCCGGTGGGAGCGCCGAGAGGACAACACGAGGGCCCCGGTGATTCGTCGAACGGCTTCCCCCATACTACCATCGCGAAATAGTGATGGACTGTTCGACGCACCACGGGTCACTTTTCCACGCTCGCGCCGGTTGTTTTATTATGCATTTTTCTGAACACCACA